TCTGTCCTGCAATCCTAAAACATTTCGATGCCAACACAGATGGGCGGTGCCCACACTGTGGGGAGACGTGTGATATCTTCCACATGGCATGGGCATGTCCGAAAAATCCCCACCTACCCCCTTCCCCTACCCCTTCCCGAGAGGCACGGGAGACTGCCCTCCTCAACTGCTCATCACTAGAGTCTCAACGGGCTCTGGTGAGACGGGCGCGAGTAGGGGCCTCGTCATGCGGTGTCCCGGACTAAGGACGCCAACCATGAAGCGGGGTCATGCTTTGGCCCCGTATCTCTCTTTTATAATAAATGTTTTATTATCATCATCATCGTATCTGCTTCCCCCCTTTAACCACCTCGAATTCATTCATGGTATATACTAGTTCATTGTATTCATGGCCCTGCGGCTCAACGCTCGCTAACCTTTCTAAAACTAAGGAGGTTACACCCAGCGAGTATAATGTAGCAACCCTTTCTTGTCCGATAGTGCTCAATGTACATGCCAATGGCTGCTAACGGGGATCGCAGCATGCGCGTTGACTAAAAGCCGAATGCTCCTGTCTCTCATTCTCCATTAGCAGCCATTGGCATGTACATTGAGCACTATTTTCTATTGTTAAACAACGCACAGAAGAAATATCTCACCGCCACCACCTTGGAGGTCAAATGTTATATCTATTTCGGGTATGTGCCACTGGTGCTTGCGTACTACGAGGGACGCCCAAGCCACGCCATAAGGAGCTTCGCACTTTGCACCCGTATGTCGAAAGATGCGTCATTGTTAATCCAGAAGATACGCATTGCCAATCGAGATGCCAGTCCTTCCACTGTAACGCGGGCACGGCAAGAGGAGCTCGTTGAACGGTACCAGCGTATAATGCGCACTTCTTTACTCTCGGCTGCAGCTTGGCGCTGTAGACGTGCACCCTGTTCGCACCCTGAGGTGCTAAGGTATGCACGCAGAGCTCTGCTTTGTCCACCAGGCTCGCCCGCCCACTCGCTGAACTCTATCACCCCAGCTGCTGCGGGTACGCGCGACTTTCAGGAATTCACTCAACACTTTGAGTCAATAGCTAAATCTGGTGCTAATGTTTGTTACCCAGGATCCGTTTCTTCGCATCTTCTGTCAACAGATTTACCTCATGATTCCAACATGTCAAATGACGTCCTCCTATCACCGCCATCCGATGACGAAATCAAAGGCGCATTAGACGCAATGAAAAAGGGATCGGCCCCAGGGCCTGACGGACTCCCTGCAGAGTTTTATGTACAGTTCGGGCCTATCATTGGTCCAACTATGTCACGCGTCATTCGCAAGTGTTTCCAAGATATTACACTTCCAACTTCTTTCTACAAAGGCCGTATAACACTAGTTCCCAAGAAAGACCCAATGTCCACGCGACCAGAAGATTGGCGCCCTATTACGCTGCTCAATGTAGATTACAAGCTCTGGGCTAACATTTTGGTGCGCCGAATCAGTCCATTTCTTGCAACATTAATCACTCCCCACTAGGTCTGTTCTGTTCCGGGCCGAGAAATACACACCCATACGTGGTTAACGCGTGACATCATTCAATACACCATTAGCCGATGTGCGCAAGGACTGTTGGTTTCATTAGATCAAGAAAAAGCTTTTGATTTCATAGAACATGGCTACATACTAAATGTTTTACATGCATACAGATTCCCGGATAAGTTCATTGACCTTATCAACGCTATGTACACTAATTCAGAAAGTACCCTTTATTTAGATTCCCGTGAGAGTCACGCATTTAGAGTCACGCGTGGGGTCCGGGGTTCGTCAAGGGTGTCCCCTCTCCCCAGTGTTATTTATCCTTGCATTAGAGCGCTTCTTAAGGGCCGTTGAACATCATCCGCAGATTCGTGGCTTACCTCTACCCGGTAACACTCCAGTAAAGGTCGCTGCATACGCAGATGATATCACTCTATATGTACAAAATGAACAGTCGCTGCAGCATGCTCTTGATACATTCCATGATTTCGGTATTATCTCCGGTGCAAAGTTAAACTTTTCTAAAAGCCAGTATTTTTTCATTGGCAACCCCAGCGGTCGTATCAACATCACGTCGCCTTTACAGTGGTCTCCTGAGATTTTAATACTCGGAGTTACTTTCACTGTATTTGGTATACAGGATAGCATCTGGTCATCCGTTGTACAAACTCTTCTAAATGATATCAAAGCAGCCAGGCACTTCGAATTCCCCCTCTTGGAACGCCGATACTTAACTCAAACGGTGTACTTAGGAAAATTTTGGTACCTTTGCCATTCTGTTAAACCACCGTTCCACGTCTGCAGGAAAGTGCAAAGCTGCATCAGTTCATTTTTTTGGTCTGGTGGCACAGAATTGTTATCACGTCCAGCGTTAGCTCAACCGCGAGATCAAGGCGGTTTTGCATTCCCTGACGTTTCCGTCGCGGCTTCTACATTGTGCCTCCGCACTCTATTGCGAATACTAAGCAATGATGACATGCCCGCTCAGACACTGGCTCGCTACCATCTGGGGCCATCACTACGTGTCTTCTTGCCGGATAGCCAAATAAACAAAGGTCCCCAATCAACTGAATCACCATCTTTGTATCGAGCCCTTCTGGCATTTCACCGACGTTTGGAAGCTACGTGCCCAGAGATAGAGGTGGCCGATTCTAAAGTGGTGGACAAAATGGCCGCCCTTCTACGGCCCTTGGTGCCCCAGCATCGTCAATCTGTATTGAACCACGCTTGGAAACCAATAACTGCCGCAGTGTTGCCAGGGCATCTCAGAGACTTTGTCTGGAGGTTGGGCTGGGGCTTGCTCCCCACGCGAGATCGGTTGCAGCGATGGCAGGTAGCTCGCGCTTCCACTTGCCCCAACTGCGTCATGGTAGAGACCAATCGACATGCGACGTTTGAATGTGTGGTTTCCCGCCTTTTTTGGCGTGCGGTTAACGCTGGTTTTCGGGGACAAGGTGTGCTAACTTTCTTGTCCAACGGCCGATTTCCACGTAGCCGCTTCTCCGCTCTCTTAATAGTTGCGGGGCTGTTCAGCCTTTGGAGAAACTGATGCGAGTCCGTAGCTGCCAATTGCCGCCGGCGTGCCTTGTGGCCGATACTGGGGAGAATGAGACGAGAGATCCTCGCGTTCCTCTCCGAAGAGCTTTTCTTCCTCGGGGAGCAAGAGTTTCTGCGGCATTGGTAGTGCCCTTTCGTCAAGGTGGAACACGAAAGGATACAACTCATTTTTCGACCAACTTGGTGCTAAGCAGCGCCCGTTGAGTTGTTATATATGATTTCATTTGTTACAAATTGTGTTTCATTTGGATCTATTGTATCGTTATACCCTTGAATCGTTATATCACATTGAAGTTTTGTGTACATGTATGCCAACATAATCATGTATATTAGAGCAAATGTCTTCACTGTAACGTAGTGATGTTAGTCGTGAAATATAGATGTGCCGAAGTGTATGTGCCCTGTTACTGGAATGTTATGAAGCCTTTGTGTTCTGTACATGCTGTAAATTAACTTTTTCTTAACAAGGAGCTTCGCCCCCAAAAAGAAAGAAGGGGCGGCTGGCACGAGCGCGAGTCTAGGCACTGGCTTGCTCAGTGGTTCCCTTAACCTTCGATGTAGCCAGACGATCGGGTCCGGGTCCCCTTCTTCGTTTCTCACACGAACGCAGGGACGCACGCATGGACAGACGGACTGACGCATAGACTCACGTAGGTACAGACAGACGGACGCACAAATGGACGCACGGATGAATGCATAAGAGGACGGATGGATGGACGGATGGAAGAATGGACGCACGGATGGGCGTACGGATGAACGAACACAGGGACGGGTGGACATATGCACAGATGGACACATGAGAGGATGGACGAATGGATGGACGCATGGACGTATGAACGGATGCACGAATGAATGGACGCACGGATGGACGCGCAAGCAGATGGTCTGACGAATGGATGCACGGACGGAACGATGTACGCTTCGCCCCACTCATCGTCATTCTCTCCAGGGACGTACTGTTATTTTTGATATTCATCATACTACAAGTAATGTCCTCTACTATAGTACTATTTCCATATTTAGCGTATATGAATTTCGTCATATGTATAAGTACCACCCTCTACGGCCGATTCAAGAACTAGCGAGAGGTGGCTACATATGATTACGACGGGACGCTCAGCCCACGCCTTAAGGAGCTTCGCTCCTAAAACGCGAGGCCTGCGCGCAGCACAGTCACAGCGAAATCTTGAAGAGCAGCCTTTCAGAATCTTTTCTTAATACTCTTTGGGTAATTGCTTCAGGCACTCTGGTAGGTACCAACTTCATATATATTCATGATTTTTGTGTAGTAGGCCACCATTCACTATGCTGTCGTTCGTCATTCTTTGTAAAAGCGGGTTATCTGCTGTACACTTGTCAGGAATTTTGTGCAAGTTTTTATGGAGTCGCTGACGACGATGAATAATTATTCCTGAAGTAACAAGCTTTTGTAACGTGTTGGAGCATTGAACCACCCATTCATTGCACAATTTGCATTGTGTGACTCCAGGCTTTTCCTTTGCTGTTCTAAAACACTTTATTATTCAAATTAATGCGATTCTTTCCCGACATTAAGGCTGCCTAAAGCTAATTTTCAGAGTCCCAAGCATCGACATGGCTCAGTGGTAGAATACTGGGCTGGCACGCAGGTTTATTACCACTGACAGTTGGGCGAGTTGATATTAGTTTATAGTAGTGAATGGTGCAAAAAAAACACACACACACAGGGCACAGGCGCCCATGCGTGTGGTTTTTCATCTGTGTCACGTGTTTGTGTGTGTTTTGTGTTTTCGCCGTTCATAACCACGGTGCGCAGGAGACAATGGTTCCGATTTTATTATGGTCATAATGTTTTTTTATTTACTGCATTTTTTTCTTTCTACTGACATCGGACAACTACGGCACCGCGCAAGACCCGCACTGTGATATCACAATTGCTTTCGCTGTAAAAAATATACTCACTCCCAAACAAGCATCACATACCTAGTAGAATCTATAAACATACAGACCTGCGGGTTCTTCCTCCGGTACATGATGATTTCTGCAGCCTTTTTTGTCATTTCAACCATAGGATTGTCGTAGATGGCTCCTAAAAGCCTGGAAGGACCGCTTAGCAGCCGTGGCCAGTGGTAGAGGTTTTCTGGAATAGCATACAGTTGAGAGAATTTGTTTTATCACACCGGAACACAGTATGTCAGGTGTCGCCGTTAAACCAAACATATCAGGCCTCATATTCGCTTCCGCTTAAAGAAAACCAGTGAATTCATAATATTCAATCTGGAGTGATGTCTTGCGTATTCGCACCCAGTTCTTTAGGTTCCGACATTGGGACAGAAAACGTTACCTTCGTGGAAAAAAAACAATAATAACTTAAGAGTGTGACCTTAACCGGCAAGCGTCTTAGGGAAACCGAGTCTATGCTCTGGGTCATACGCATCAAAGGTGAACGCCTTATTAGTATTCAGTACCTTATAGAAGTTTATGCCTAATACATAACTCCTAAAGGTTTATAGATGTATACTGACACCAGTATTAGACGTCACGTAACACAGATGTTTCTCATGACATGGAATAATATTTCGGCAAGTTGCGTTCAAGATTAGAACGCGATAGAATAACTTGGCACCGTTCACATAGTCTTCTAGATCACTAGCGTGCCTTCAATTTTCGGTGGACAGGCCAACCATGCTACAACAAAAGGAACTTCTGTGAGCATGTTCAAGGCTACTTCAAGCTATTCTGTAATGTCTACTACAAGTGAAATGGACAAGTACCCGCTATGCGCCTATGAGAACGCGCAAGGCTACTTGGCCGATTATCAAAAGCAAGGATTATTATTCAATATGCGTCCGCGGGGACACCATTAGGTAATTATGATGTATACCCACAACTTTTGTAGGGAGACAACACTACGAAAACTGCAGTTAGGGTATGCACAGTGATGTAAGATGACGGAAATTTTTTCCTTATGCCTGCAGTTCTAACCTTTATGAAGCAGACATATTTCTTTTACGTATGAGGTCTTACTCAGCCGCACCCTTCTGTGCTATTCGATGTACTAAGGCGCCAGGGATACTTGGAATGTTCTAACACCTTTTAACTGCCCTCCTCGTCGCATGCTTTCGTTTCGTAATAAATTAAGAATAATTCCGTCTGAGCACTTTGTGACGCATTGCGCAATTACTATGCCTGGACGCCTGTCAAAACTGCGCTTCTGCTACAGATCATTACACGCGTACAGGTAACTTATCAATTCGTGAAATAAACATTTATTCCTCCTCCACTTCAAAACAGCGCAAAGCATGGGCGTGGCTCTACGGCTGAACACCTGTTTTTCACCTAAATGACCTGGGTTTGATTTCCACAAGAACCAACTTTCTTTATTTGAAATTGGCATCTTCCTCAGTTACCATCTCATGAAGAAAGCGGGATATTTTGCTCACAGTATTCGAGGCTGACGTCGGCACAGGCAGGACATTTTCTTCAAAATGCCCTCATTGATGGTATTACGTTAACACAATCTAGTTTCACCGGATTCAATACTAATGATTTTATCACTTTATAAAATGTTTACCGTAGTACATATCTGCATATTTTAATTTTTATGATTTATTAACACTTAAATAGAACATTTATTTGTAGTGACCTTGTGTCGTGGAATGGTATATTTCTTAGCAGTATGATAAACCAAACTTTCTGCTCAAGTTTAGTTCATGGCTTTTAAATACAAGTGTTAAAAACTGGCCTTACGTTTCTAGACTAATTCGGTCACTTCTTCAGCGGGTGACTGTCTGTCTGGCTAGTACGCAAGCAAATTTTTTGTATGTATGCCCCCTCTCTACCATCGTTCTTCCTATCTTTCTTATTACTGCGTGGTTGTTTACAATTTCCAAGTTGAAAAAAAACTAAATATCTGTCACCGTAAATATAGTAAGCATGGTGTGGCAGCCATTCTTCATTCCAATGCTTATACAGGGTAATCTCGCTTGACAATAAACTCTCTGACTTTTCACTCACACATAAATTCGTTTTCAGGCTTAGGACATTTACTACTTGCACACAACTTCTTTGTCCACACTTTGCAGATCACTTAATTTACATTATCGCCTATATACTCAATAGAGTTCATTCTCAGACAAATCCTAAATATCAGCGATAAAATATTAGTGAATAATTGAAGGCCAGACAAAAGCAGTCCTAGTTACATAAATTTTTCACCATAATCATCAACATCATCAACATCATCATAAGCCTGACTACGCCCACTGCTGTACGAAGGTCTCTCCCACATTCCGCCCGTCAACTCAGTCCTGTGGTTGCTGCTGCCACTTGATACCCACAAATTCCCTCTTTCTTCTGCCCTCCTAACTTTCTTTCGCCCCTGACCCGCTTGCCTTTTTTTTGAAATCCGTTCTGGGATCAATAATTACCAGCGGTTACCTCGCCTTAATTAACGGCCCTTAGTGCCCAGCAGCTGCGAAGCAACTGACCATGGCGGTGGTCAGATCTGCACCGCAGCAGAGGGTGCTAAGAATCTCTCGACCCGGACAGGCCGCCATTGTAACTTGATTTTGGCAAAGTTTAACGCTAGAACCTTATCTAGTAAGGCAAGTCTAGCTGTGCCATTCAAGGAGCTAGAGGGTAATAAACGGAATGTAATAGGGCTCAGTGAGGTTAGGACAAATGAGGCCTATACAGTGCTATATAACGGGCACGTCCTTTGCTATCGGGGCTTGGCTGACAGAAGAAAACTGCGAGTGGGGTTCTTTACCCACAGAAACATAGCTGGCAACATAGAAGAATACTAGAGCATTGAAGAAAGAGTGGTAGGTATTGTAATGAAACTCAATAAGAGATACAAGATGAAAGTGATACAGGCTTATGCGCCTACGTCCATCCATGATGACGCGTCAGTTGAAATCTTCTATGAAGACGTGTAATCAGCAATGAGTAAGGTAAAAAAACAGTGTACTATACTGATGAAAGACTTCAATGCAAAAGTAGGGAGGAAACAGGCTGGAGACGAGGTAGTAGGAAATTATGGCATCGGTACAAAAAATTACAAAGGGGAACTTCTAGTAGAATTCGCAGAACGCAGTAATTTACGGATTTTGAATACCTTCTACCGAAAGCAAGGGAACCGTAAGTAAACACGGAGGAGCCCTAATGACAAAAATAAGAACAAAATAGACTTTATAATGACTGCACAACCTGACATTGTGCAGAATGTAGAAGTGCTCGGGAAAGTAGAATGCAGTGACCGTGAATAGTACGGTCTTGAATTCGCCTAGACTTGAAAAAGGAACGACAAAAACTGATACGCAAGAAGCCAATAAATGAGCTAGCACTGCGAGGGAAAGTACAGGAATTCATAGTCTCGCTTAAGAACAGTTACTCGGCTCTTATCGAGGAAAATAACCTTTGCGTTGAGGACATGAATTTTAATTTCACGAATAGCATTACGGAGTGCAGTAGAAGTTGGAGGTACTGTAGTTAGACAGGACACTGGAAAGCTGTCCCAGGAAACGAATAATCTCATTAAGAATCGTCAAAGCATGACAGCCTCAATTACAACAGACAAAATAGAGTTAGTAGAGCATTCAAAGTTGATTAACAGGCGTAAGGTATTCGTTGTAAGAAGGTATAACATAGAGAGAATTGAACACGCTAGCGGAGGAAGCGTCAATGCAGTGAAGAGAAAATTAAGAGTAACGAAAACCAAATGTATGCACTAAGGGACAAGGAAGGCAAAGTAACTACCAATATGTGCAAAATAGTAAAATTTGCCGAGCAGTTTTACAGAGATCTGCACAGTAGTCACCACAGCCATGATCCTAATATAAGAACTAGCAGTAACCCAGATGACGCCCGACCAATTATTATAGAAGAAGTCAGAAAAGCCTTGGAGAGCATGCAAGAAGGCAGAGCTGCTCATCAATATCAGGTAACATCATACCTGCTGAAAGATGGACGACAGATTGTGTTAAAAAAACTAGCGACCCTGTTTACGGGGTGTATCCTGACGGGAAGAGTACCAGAGTCTTGGAAAAATGCTAACATCACCTTAATACATAAGAAAGAAGATGACAAGGACTTGAGGTATTACAGGCTGATCAGCTTGCTCTCCTTAGTATACAAGCTATTTAGTAAGGTAATGACTAAGATAACATAAAAATTAAATCAACCAAAGAAACAAGCAGGATTCCGAACCGATTACTCAACAATATACCACATTCATACTATCAATCAGGTAATATAGAAATGCTCAGAATATAGCCAAACTTTCCACATAGCCTTCATAGATTACGATAAGGCGTTCGATTCAGTAGAAATATCAGCAGTCTTGCAGACACTGCGGAATCAGGGCGTCGACGAAGCATATATAGACATCTTGGAAGAAATCTACAGGGGATCAACTGCTACCATAGTGCTTCATAAAGAAAGCAACAGAATACCAATCAAGAAGGGTGTAAGGCAGGGAGAACAATCCCCGAATGCTATTTACCGCGTGCTTACAGGAGGTTTTCAGAGGCCTAGAATGACAACGGTTAGGCATAATAGTTAATGAAGAGTACCTGGGTAACCTGCGCTTCGCCGATTACATTCCATTGCTGAGTAACTCAGGCGACGAAGTGCAACTCATGATTACGTAGTTAGATAAGTAGAGCCGAAAAGTAGGTCCTAAAGTTAATCTGCAGAAAACGAAAGTAACGTACAACAACCTCGGAAGAGAACAGCGCTTCGTGATAGGTAATAGTGCGCTTGAAGTTGTAAAAACTATGCCTTCTTAGGGCAGGCAATAACCGCGCAGCCAAACCACGAGACTGAAGCCATTGGAAGAATAAGAAGGAGATTGAGCACATATACCGAGCACTCTCAAATCATGAGAGGTAGATTGCCACAATTCCTCAAAAGGAAGGTATATAACAGCGGCGTCTTGCCGGTACTTAGCTACGGAGATGAAACCTGGAGACTTACAAAAACGGTTCAGCTTAAATTGAGGACGACGCACTGAGCAACAGAAAGGAAAGTGGTAGGTGTAACCTTAAAAGACAAGAAGAGAGCAGAGTGGATTAGGGAGCAAACCGGGGTTAAGGATAACATAGTTCAAATCCATAAGATGAAATGGACATGTGCCAGGCAGGTAGCACGTAGAACGGATAACCGGTGGTCACTATGGGTAGCTAGTGGATTCCTGAACAAGGCAAGTGGTTAGGGGGAGACAGACAGTTAGGTGGGCAGAAGAGATTAAGACGTTTGCGGGTATAAATTGGCAGCAGCAAGCACAAGACCGAGTTGGCTCGCGAAACAAGGAAGAGGCCTTTGCCCTGCAGTAAACGTAGTCAGGCTGATAATGATCACGATGAGGATGACGATGATCTCGCCTTGGTGCTACGTGCCCCTCCTATGACCACGTTTTTTTAAAATTTCTACTACGATGCCCTTAACAGCTATTTTTTCCTGATACATTATGCTCTCTTCTTGTCCCTTAGGATTTTACCTATCAATTTCCTTTCCACTGCTCACTGCACCGTCCTAAACGTAGGCTGAACACTTTCTCTAATTGTCCAGGTTGCTGCTCTTTATGTAAGCACTGATAAAGTGCTGCAGTTATAATATACCTTTTTCTTCAGTAATAGTGGCAATATGCGCTTCATGGCTTGAGAATGCCTGCTAATTAGCGCCATCCCATTATTATTATTCTAGTTATTTCAATGTTGTGGTTGAGCTGTGTGGTCACTACCTGTCGATAGGAGCCGCTCTCTTTTACAGCTTCAAGTGCACTGCCTGCTATCTCGAAACGCTCTTCCTTTCCGTGGTTGTTGTGCATTATTGTACATTACTTTCACTTTCTGCTGTTTAGGTTTAAGATTTACCTTTTAGTTCTTTCTGTTTAATTGACTAATCATGAATTGCAATTCACCCCCTGAGTTACTCGGCAATGCAATGTCATCGGGAAAGCACAGTGCCCGTAGAATTGTTAGTCTTCGAATTCACCTACACTTGAAGAAGAAACGACAAGTCATACACAAGAAGCAAATCAGTGAGCTGGCGCTGAGACGGAAAGTACAGAAATTCAGAGCCTTGCTTTAAAACAGATAATTGGCTCTTATCTAGAAAACCCGCCTTAGCATTGACACAGTCAATCATTATCAGACGAGTATTATTACAGAGAGTGCAGTGGAAATTTGAGGTACGGTAGTTACACAGAGCTCTAATAAACTGTTGCGGGAGGTGAAGAACCCCATTAAGAAACATCAAAGCATGAAAACCCCAAATACAACATACAAAATGGAACTGGTAGAGTTTTCAAAGTTTATTATTAAGCGTAAGGTATTCCATGCAAAAAAGTATAACATGGAGAGAAATGAACATGTTATAAAAATTGAGGAGGCGTCGAAGAGGAATTTCGGGATAGGCAAAAAATCTTATGTATGCATTAAGGGAGCAGAAAAACAAAGTAACAACCAATATAGAACGGATAGTTAGAGTAGCAGACGAGCGCTACAGACATCTGTACAATAGCCGGAAAGAGCACGTTCATAATGTAGGAGCTAGCAGTAACCTATATGACATCCCCCCAGTAATGACATAAGAAGTCAAAAAAGCCTTGAAAAGAATGCAAAGAGGCAAAGCTGCTGGTGGGGATCATGTAATACCAGATCTGCTAAAAGACAGTGGACTGAATTTTTTATAAAAACTCGCCACACTGTTTGCAAAGTGCCCTCTTGCAGTGAGGGTACCAGAATCTTGGAAGAATGCTAACATCATCTTAATTCATAAGAAAAGGGAAAACAAGAACTCGAAGAGTTATAGGCTGATCAGCTTGTCTTCTTCCTATACGAGCTTTTTACAAAGGTAATTGCTAACATAATTGAGAATGCATTAGAATTCAATACCCTAAGGCATCAAGCACGATTTCGTTCTGGCTACTCGACAATCTACCACATTTATACTATCGATCAGGTGACAGGAAAATCCTCAGAATACACCATACCGCTATACGTAGTGTTAATAGATTACGAGAAGGCATTTGATTCAAGAGATATCAGCAGTCATGTAGACACTGCAGAATCAGGGCATCAATGAAACATTTACGGACATCCTCAACTAAACCTAGAGCGGATCAACTGTAACCATAGCACTCCATAAAGACAGCGACAAAATACCAATGAAAAGGGTGTAAGACAAAGGAATACGATTTCCCAATGCTAGTTAATGCGTGCTTAGAGGGGGTACTCAGAGGCCTTAAATGGGAAAATTTGTATATACTAGGTAAGGAAGAATACCTCGGTAACCTGCACTTCGTAGAGGAGTGTTACGGGTCAATTCACACTTCTTGGCAATTTTTACTTGCCACCTAACTCAAAGCGCGCGGAACTACTTTGCATAACACTCACAACTAAATCCTGCTGCCATGACCCGAATTCAAACCCATGACATCTACCTTTATTTGCGTTACCCTACGAACTTAGCTGCTAAATTTGGTACAAGATATTATACTTCATAGCTTTGAAGAAAGGGATGATTTTGTTACCGCAGCTGCGATGGCAACGTCCTCTTGGCGTCCTTGGGGATATCTGTTAGGCGGTATGACTTCGGCACCCCGTGTTTATGACAATCACGATTCCGGCCTGTTTGTTTCACAAACGCCAGGCCGCACGGCTCAAGCACAACATTATTTCGCTACTCGAATGAAAAAAACAGTGCAAGAGTACCCATATAGATGGAAGAAGAGACGACAAGGCGCTGACCAACTAGTTTAACTTTCGCTTCTAGTGCAGTTATTTCGCTACATTTCTTCGTTTAAACTGGGTGTGGCTGTTTTTCTGTGGTTCCCAGCAAGGTTTTTACTCACGGCCAAGGTGATACAAGACACCCGTAGTGACTGTCGGAATGACAGCCAGTGAGTTCTTGAACAAAGGGTTCTCGGGGTTCCGTTGTACGTCTGTGTCAATGCCGAAAGCCGCCTTGGCGATCACGTCGAAAGTGAAGCGCTCGCAGAGGTTGTTGATGTCGACATCAACTTCCCTGTCCGAGTGTTCACCCAGGATATCAATGAACTGCTGTTGGGCGTGCAGCAGTGAGGGCATCACCTGTGGGATGAGCGAGCAAGAACTTTCATTCGCTATGCATCTAAATGAGTTATTTGTCGGGACACTAGAAGTGCTACACTTAAAAGCGTAGATTTTCGGATCAACACCCCAAACTAGATCAGTGTTCGCTTCTATGCTCACAAATATTATACTGAATGGTATTTCCAAATTACCACTTGAACGAACCAAAGTAACAGCTTTCTGGTTTTATGCTCGTAACTCTTACCCTTTTTGAATGATTTCGGTCATATCACCGTTCCCCACCAGCTCAGTTTTGATAATAGCATTGCTGATTCTGGTCCACTTCTATCCTTCGGTAACTACAAAAGTTCACAGCAACGCCTATGCCGTAGTATTTGATGGTGTTGCAGCGCAGCATAAGAACGGGTCTTCTGTTATTAACAGCTGTGAGAGCCGCCAACTGTACCCATTCGAACAAATCTTTCCAATCCCAGAAACACAATCCTTTGTGTAGTTTGGACAGTGTGTAACGTTTCGCCATACCTAATTGTACTTATTTTTCTGTATATACAGAACGCCATGCACTTTGCTGGCTATCATGCTTGAAATATCCCACTGGGACACAATCGGGCTCCGAGGAGAACTTTGTGCAATGGAACTCTGGAAAACATTATCACGTCAGTGAATACTTCTGTCTCATACCATTGGGCCCCCCTAAGGCTTGGAATGAAATGCCAGCATGTGTATTTTTGCTATTCGCTTCAAGCCACATCCGTTATATAGATCGCCGAAATCCAGATTTACGTGACCTTATTCAAAGACTGCGGACCGCGACACCTGAGTCGTCCACTGGCCCAATCACGCTTGTGAACGATATATTGTTACGGGGGTGAGAGAATGAATGAAATAAATATATTTACAAAATATACAGGGAGAGTCAGAGGCAGCTGCAGCTAAGATAGAAGAACAGCTGCAACAACAACACGAGCATGGTCGCTTTCATCACCTTCGTCGTTTATGATGCTCTTTCGTTGCCGATGTAGTGTAACATATAACCCCCCGCTGCTGGCAGCGCCGTCGCGGCGCCTAAAGGAGAGTAGGGTCATATGCGGATATGTAGGGTTTGAGGCGGGTAACGTGGACGACGTCTGTATCGGGTGCGGACGACGATGACTGCCTGTCCAACGAAGCAATCTCGTATGTGACATCGGTAAGCCGGCGTAAAACCTTGTAAGGCCCCGAGTAGCGAGATAGGAGCTTCGAAGAGAGGCCAACGTGGTGGCATGGTGTCCAGAGGAGAACCAATGAACCTGGAGAGTAGGAAACTACTCTGTGATGGCTATCGTAGCGGGCCTTCTGAGAGAGCTGCGAGCCAAGACGTTCCCGTGCTATTTGGCGGGCCACTTGAGACCGAGCAGTGGCATCCCGGGCGTACTCTGTAACCGTTAGCGTCATTGATGGGAGAAGAGTCTCGAAGGGTAGCGCTGGATGGCGGCCGAATAATAAATAGAAGGGGGAGAAGCCAGCGGTGTCGTGGCGTGACGACTTGTACGCGAATGTCACATAAGGCAAAGTACTATCGCAATCAAGGTGATCTTTGGAAAGGTACATGGAGAGCATCGTTGTCAATGTTTGATTTAGGCGCTCGGTAAGACCATTTGTTTGTGGGTGATAGGCCGTAGTCAGCTTGTGACGCGTCGAACACGAGCGAAGGATGTCACTTACTACTTTTGAAAGAAATAAGCGACCACGATCAGTCAGCAGCTGTCGAGGAGCGCCATGGTGAAGTATTACGTCATTAAGCAAGAAGTCCACGACGTCAGCGGCACAACTTGTCGGTAGCGCTCGTGTGATAGCGCATCTTGTGGTGTAATCAGTGGCTACGGCTATCTACTTGTTTCCAGTGAGAGAAGTTGGAAATGGTCCAAGGAGATCAAGACCGACGCAGTAGAAGGGAATGGTGGGTATGTCTATTGGTTGGAGCGGACCAGCTGGTGTCAAGATGGAATGTTTGGAGCACTGGCAGGACTCACATGCAGCAACGTATCGGCGCACAGAACGGTAAAGGCCTGGCCAGAAAATTCTACGCCGCACGCGATCGTACAAGCGCGTGACCCCGAGATGTCCCGCGGTTGGGGCGTCGTGAAGCTGTTCAAGCACAGCGGAACGGAGTGTCGCAGGAACTATGACTAGTAGCTCTCGGTCCTTCGGCGCTGGCGTTGCGTCGGTAAAGAATGCCATCGCGTAGAACGAACAAGTGTAGCGACGGGTCCTACGTGGGGCAAGCGTAGACTCTGCATGATAGACCGCAAGTGGACACCGCTGAGCTGTTCCTTGCTATGTCGGTGAAAGCCGACATGGCGAAGACACAAGGGTCAGAATTATGTGCTCAAAGGTCAGGTGGGTCCACGGGGTGACGGGATAGACAGTCGGCATCCTGGTGCAGTAGGTCAGATTTGTATGCCACGTCGAAGCTGTATTCTTGTAGTTTCAAGGCCCAACGGCCATGTCGTCCTGTTGGATCTTTAAGGGACGACAGCCAGCACAAGGCATGTTGATCTGTAATTACCGAAAAGGTGCGGCCAAACAAGTATGGTCGAAATTTTCCGACTGCCCAGACTAGTGGAAAACTTGCTCTTCCAAGGAGAAAGGAGGCGACTGGCATAAGCAATGACGCAATTTTGTCCTCGTTGCCGCTGGGCGAAAACAGCACTAATTCCATGTCCGCTGGCATCGGTACGCACTTCAGTATGGGCGGACGGCTCGAAATGGGCCAAGATGGGTGGAAAAGTAAGTATTGTTTAAGGGTGCTGAAGGCAGTTGCTTGGTCAGTACCCCAATAAAAAGGCATGTCCTTATCCAGTAGCTCCGTAAGTGGTCGGGCAATGTCAGCGAAATTCTTCACGAAACGTCGAAAGTAAGAACAAAGGCCGATGAAACACCATACATCTTTTGCGGAACGTGGTATGCGAAAATCTTTGACAACTCGAATTTTGTCAGGATCAGGTTGCACGCCTCGAGCACTGACAAGCTGGCCGAATACAGTGATATCCCGACGGCCAAAGCGACATTTGGAAGAGTTGAGCTGAAGTCCTGCTTTCCGGAAAACCTCAAGAACAGCTGTTAGGCGGCTATGGTGGCTTTTGAATGTAGGTGAAAATAGGATGACGTCATTGAGATAGCACAGGCACGTGGTCCATTTGTATCCACGCAGGAGAGAATCCATCATTCTTTCAAATGTAGCTGGCGCATTACACAATCCGAATGGCATAACCTTGAACTGGAAAAGTCCATCCGGTGTGATGAATGCGGTTTTCTCACGGTCTCGATGATCGACAGAAATCTGCCAGTATCCTGATCGCAAGTCGATAGATGAAAAGTAGGCAGACCCATGTAGGCAGTCGAGAGCATCGTCAATCCGCGGTAGTGGATGCACGTCCTTACGTGTTACTGTGTTTAAGAGATGGTAGTCTATGCAGAAGCGCCAGCTGCCATCCTTCTTCTCGACTAGCACGACCGGCGATGCCCATGGTCTGCAGGAAGGTTCGATGACGTGTTTTGTGAGCATTTTTTCAACTTAGTGCTGGATAACTTGTCGCTCGGCATTTGACACTCGATAAGGACGTCGTCGGATGGGGCTGGCGTCTCCAGTGTTAATCCTATGAGTTACAAAGGATGTCTGACGCAAAGGGCGGTTATCAAAATCTAAGATGTCGCGGTAGGATTTCAGCAGGTGCCGGATGTCAGCTGTCCGTGCTGAAAGAAGGTCTGGAGCGATCATCTTGTCGTTGGTGGCATCCGCTACGCTCTTCAAGGATGAAAACGGAGCAGAGGACAAAGAAGATTTGGCAACGAACGCCGAAATGGCAGCATCTATAGAAAAAAGTTTTGTCAAAGTCATACCATCTGGGATAACTTGAGCGCACCAGCTGAAGTTTAGGATCGGAAGAGTTGCTCTATTTCTCGTGACTGTCAAAAGTGTGTTAGGCACGGCCACATTTTTGGCCAGCAGAACGTCAGCAATAGGTGTCAACATGTAGTCACCATCGGAAACAGGAGGCACCGATCTTAGGTTCACGTAAGTAACGGCTTGAGGCGCTAGGCAAACGTGATCTGCAGAACACAGATGGGGTTGAGCTGGTGTTGGGTCGTCATGGTAACACGGTAAATCAAGTTGAAGCATGCCGGTTCCACAATCAATAAGGGCAGAGTGGGCGGATAAAAAGTCCATTCCGAGGATAAGTTCATGGGAACATTTCTCGAGCACAGCAAATAGCACTGTCGTGGAGCGATCAGCCACACTTATGCGCGCGGAGCACATTCCAAGCACGGGAAACGTGCCACCGTCGGCGACCGGGATGAGTGGCACTGTGGGTGGCGTTAAAGCTTTCCTAAGGCAGCAACGAAGTTCTGAATTCATCACTGATATGTGAGCCCCTGTGTCCACCAGTGCAACAACGGGTATGTCATCTACTTCAACGTCAATAAGGTTGCGTCGAGTCGGCAGCATGGTCAGACGATTCGGCGGGCAAGTGGTTGATGCAGCATCACCTCCGGGAGCTGCATCATCTAGTTTTCCGCGGCAGGTGGTCAGTCGGCGACGTTGGTCGGCGAAATGGGGGCGAGCGAGACGATGGGCGACGGGAGAGCGGTGAACGGGACTGGTGAGCATGCGGAGATGGAGAGCGACGACGATATGGCGGCATAGAAGGAACGTCTTCACTGATTGCCAGAGGTGACTCCCGGTAAGTTTGAAAGCGTCCATGATCGCTCTCTGGCCGATGGGGGTACCCATAGGATGCCTGATGCCAATACCACCGAGTGTTACAATGGCGGGCCACGTGTCCGATACGGTGGCAGTTTGAAACAAATCGGGCGATCGTCAGCAGTCCTCCACTCGGATGGATTGCGAGGGCGCGCTGGAAGGTTTTGGCTTTGGGCATACCAAACATGGGCTCGACGACGGTTGATCGACTGAGAGGAAGCTGTAGTGCACTTTGAGGCCAGTTCAGCATTGGAAACCTCTTGTCGCACAATGGCATGTACCAGTGGCACCATCTGAGAGCTAGAGTCACAGGTATGGGAGCACGTGGACGCAGGAAACAGAGCTTCAAGTTCACGTCTGATGATCTTGGTCACGTGCTCTGCAGTTAACGGCGTCTGAAGCGCAAGCCTGTCTTCACACGACCAGGTTGCTGCTGTGTTTCGTAGTCGAGTGAAATTATGGGCAATACGTCGACTTTTTGCGGCCTCAAAACGCTGGCACTCCTTGATGATGGCATCGACCGTGTTGCAGTCCTTGCATATGAGGAGGTTGAATGCATCATCTGCAATGCTTTTCAACGTGTGAGCTACTTTTTCGGTTTCTTCCATACCGTTGTCCACTTTTCGGCAAAGGGCAAGCACGTCCTGTATGTAAGTCACGTAGGACTCTGATGGCGTTTGCGCACGAGATGCCAACTCCTTCTTGGCCGCTGCCTTTCTACCCACAGACTTGCCGAAAAGGGCGCGCATCTTTTCTTTGCACGCATGCCAGCTTCCAATTTCGTCTTCGTGGTTCTCGAACCACACTTTTGCTGTTCCTGTCAAGTAGAACAGGATATTGGCTAACATAAAAGTTTCATCTCAGCGGTAATTCTTACTTGTACGTTCGTTCAACGGCAACCATTCTTCCACCACCACAACATCATACATACAAATGAATGTGTCAAATACTAGTCTTACGATACTATAGACATTCAAGCGTTGGCAGTCAGCAGCGCCACACCTCCACTACTTCTGACATAGCAATTCGTCGGGCACACAATTGTGGGAGGAGTCGATTTCGCTTGCCCAGAAAGTATCACACCGTTTGACGCCACGTTACCCTGTGCAATCAGGAAGAACGCTCGCAGAGGGACTGCTTCAGAAGAAGCCACCCACATTTCCTCCTAGACTTGTTGAGCCACTTGACACTCCAATTCATTCCTTCTTCCAAGCTGTTCCTCCCAAGCTATAATTTTTTGCAACATGTGCTTAGGATGGTAAATGTATTGCTGTTCCGACAGACCACGCAACCAAATATTTGATCACATGCGCTCTAAAAACGAAAGTGTCCCATTTAGTTTACCAGTTTCCTCGATCACGACCTCACCCTTTATTATAGAGCTCTTTGTAAACTTCTCACTGACCGTGCCAGCTTTTTTCTGCCCTGAACTTTTGAAGGTTTAATTCATTCCTCCGCACAAAAGGTGACCAAGGCTCAATATCTGCTAACAAACGCTAGAATAAATGCTTCCACAAAGAATAACTTATATGCTCCCCATTTACGCTTCTTCAAATCAACCCACAAGGCTGTTGCATTGGAGTTTTGTTATAATTGCGTGTGATTTCTCCCGCCATGACACATTCGCCTTTTCCTCACTTACACAGCTGTCGGCCCGTTCCCGAACGTCAACTACTGACACCACCTTTCAGGCCTTCCTCGATCTAATGACTCAGTACGGTAGTAGTTTTGCCTCTGCAGTTAATAAATGGCGTGAAGCATTTCATGATCATCTAAGATCACCACGAGATCACCAGAGCCAACTGTATGACTACTGTCATGGTAATGTTTCAGAGTCTAGAGCGCCATCATACATTTAGGTGCAGTGATTAAGCCCGTTCAATCGCCCGAAAAACTGCTTTCCTGCTACTCAGGATTTGAACGTGTAGTACGCCGCGTAACCAGCGATACCTGCAAAATAAACCCAGTTCAGTACTTTTTCCTCTGATTCGCTGCCTGCAGACATTGTTCATGCACGCTGCCTCACACTCTACCACTGACTCATGCCACAGAAAGCATCGAGACCATCAAAAATAACCAGAAGTTGGAAGACATAATAATTGGCTATAACGAAGAACAAAGTACATTAATGAGGAAGATAAGATTTCAGGAAGGGGCACGCACTTTTACGTGCTTGTAGATTGTGCAACTGTACCCTAGCTAAGTCTAGCTCCTTTTTTCCCTGGCTGGCTTAACAATATAACAAATGAGAAACGGATCAGTGAGCAGTGGGATACATGCTGTTATAATATATGCCGACATATAAATTGCAGCATTTACTTACCGCTTTGAGCTTGGATGACGTGAAAAACTGTGACATGCAATTTCGAGAAATCTTCCACAAAGAACCCTTCGCGAAGATCATGTACTTAGCGAAGATTGGCTGCCGCTCTTGCATGTTGAACATGTGCTGCGACAAGTAAAAGAATCGTATCTGAAAGTGGTGAAATATCGAGCACACCACCTGTATTCAATACTATAAAAAGTCTAGGGGACGATAAGAGAGAAATACATTCATCCGGTCGGTAGCTGCCATATTAGGGTGTCACAATGGCGCGCAAGCATGACTTTATTTGTTACTCGTAAACTTTTCCTATCACATTCTCGTAACAAATACACGTGTTGCAGTTTACTTTAAGAAAGTTTTCTAACAAGAATATACACTCAACTCTGCCTGTTGCTGAACAGCTGCAAAGCATCAAAGAGGATGTGGATTGTGACATTGTTTGTGCGTATGTATAGTAAATTCATAGCAATTAGTGGTGAACTTTTCTTGCAGTTAGTGATAACAACTTCAGCTTAGAACGAGCCCATGTGATCACGAATGTTGGCTATAGGCTTGCCTTGCATTCAGCGAATATCACTAAGTAACCTCAGGGAGAGGTGTGGGTAGCTGACTGCGAGTGCAAGAGGTGTCTTCGCAGTGTTCTGTGGTTTTCCACTGGAGTTTAATAATCTCTGCTCTTTTTCAGACGAAGCTCAAATATATCTGGACAACGTTATGTGCCTGACCAGTTTATATATATTGAAACGGGGTGTTGAACCAGCAGGAGTTGACTCGGCGAACGAAAGCTTTATTGAGCGCAAGGGCTAACTGAACGCAAGCCTGCGATCACAGCAAGTCTTCTTCCTTTTCTATATTCGAGCTCCATGCCCACTGCCCTCGTTACAATCACCCCCGGGCGATGAGGGAGCCATCCTGGCGACCTAAGGACAGGTGTACACGGAAGGGTCATGGTATGGCTTAAGCCGAGAAATGTGTACAATTTCTTGTCCCCGACGGCGCTTGTCCGGAGATGCATCCAGCGGCTCGACCAGGTAGTTGACAGGGAATGTTTGGCGTATAACTCGATAAGGGCCATGGCACCTGAACGAAAGCTTGTGGGAGAGTCCTGGAGGAGTAGAAGGAATCCATAACCACACCAGTGAGTTCGGTGCAAAGCTGATAGGCGTGACTGATGCGTCGTGGCGATGTTTTTCGCGCGTCTGGTCATGTGACGTGAATGCACGAGCAAGCTTCCGACATTCTTCAGCGTGTGCTGCTGCTCGAGAAACTGTAGTCATCTCTGAAGGGTCCGGTCGATCAGGAAGAATAGTATCCATTGTTGATGATGGCTCGCGTCCATAAAGAAGAAAGAAAGGCGAAAATCCAGTGGTGCTTTGCGTTGCAGTGTTGTAAGCATATGTCACAAAAGGCAGTATGCTATCCCAATTTGACTGGTCGGATGAAGCGTACTTGGCCAGCATATCCCCAAGTGTACGATTAAAACGCTCTGTCATCCCATTAGTTTGCGGATGATAGGCTGTGGTAGTGCGGTGTATGATGCGACACTCGCTCAACAACGCTTTGATAGCATCGGAGAGAAAAACGCGGCCGCGGTCGCTTAGTAACTCTCGAGGTGCTCCATGCCTTAAAACCAGGTTTTGCAGTATAAAACACGCAACGTCTTTTGCGGTAGCAGAAGGTAACGCAGCTGTTTCAGCGTACCGCGTTAGGTGGTCGATAGCGACAATGACTCAGCGGTTGCTACTCGAAGTATAGGGAGGCGGACCGTAAAGGTCGATTCCGACACGATCGAAAGCTCGTGCTGGACATGGCAACGGTTGCAAGGAACCTGTGGCATGCTGAGTGGGCATTTTGCGTCGCTGGCACGTAAGGCAAGACCTTACGTAACGGCGAACGAAACGGTACATACCGCGCCAGTAGTACCGCAGCTGCAAGCGAGTGTATGTTTTTAACACACCAGCGTGGCCACATTGCGGATCATCGTGGAACGTGGCACAGATGTCAGAGCGCAGATGTCGGGGAATGACGAGCAACCACTTACGACCAGTCCAACTGTAGTTTCGGCGGTAAAGCAGGTTATCCCGAATAGCGAAGTGTCCTGCTTGACGGCGAAGCGTCCTGGAAACTGGAGCGGGCGTCCGGTTTGAAAGCAAGTCCAAAAGAGAAGAAATCCAAGCATATTTGCGTTGCTCGGAAGGCATGTCCGAAATGCTGATGGCCAAGGCAGCACTGGTGGAGATAGGCGAGCCGACAGGTTCTGAAGCCAATGGCGAACGTGACAGGGCGTCGGCGTCGGAATGCTTACGGCCAGAACGGTAGGCAACACGGATATCGAACTCCTGTAACCGCAATGCCCAACGAGCGAGCCGACCATTAGGATCTTTTAGTGAAGATAACCAGCAAAGCGCATGGTGGTCTGTTATAATATCAAACGGACGTCCATATAAATAAGGCCGAAATTTTCCAATTGCCCAAATAATGGCAAGGCACTCCTTTTCAGTTACACTGTAATTCTTCTCGGCTTTACTTAGGGTGCGGCTGGCATAGGCAACGACGTACTCGTCAAAGCCATCCTTGCGTTGGGCCAGTATGGCCCCTAGCCCGACACCACTAGCGTCTGTATGAAGCTCCGTTGGAGCAGATGGATCGAAATGTCGGAGTATGGGAGGCGTGGTGAGAAGCCGTCGGAGTTCCTGAAATGCATCATCACACGCCTGCGACCACGCTGACAAATCAGACCTTCCGGCAAGAAGATTGGTCAAGAAGGGCGATAATGGAGGCGAAATTGCGGACGTAGTGCCGGAAGTAAGAACATAGGCCGATGAAGCTTCGAAGCTCTTTGACGGTGGTTGGCTTTGGGAACGCCGCGACTGCATTAAGTTTCGTAGGGTCCGGGAGAATGCCGTCCTTAGAAACCACATGGCCGAGAATTACAAGCTTGCGAGCGCCGAAGTGGCATTTCTTCAAGTTAAGTTGAAGTCTCGCCGTTGAAAGGCACGTAAGAACTTGCTCGAGGCGGCTGAGGTGGGTCGCAAAGTCGCTTGAAAATACCACAATGTCGTCCAAATAACAGAGGCACGTTTTCCATTTCATACCTCGCAAGACGGTATCTATCATTCTTTCGAAAGTGGTAGGCGCATTGCAGAGGCCAAAGGGCATAACGGTGAATTAATATAGTCCATCCGGTGTTACAAAGGCTGTCTTCGGGCGGTCACCCTCTGCCATGGGCACCTGCCAGTAGCCGGAGCGTAAATCTAACGAAGAAAAGAACTCTGCTCCTTGTAGGCAGTCCAAAGCATCATCGATGCGCGGCAGATGGTATACGTCTTTGCGCGTTATCTTGTTGAGTCGGCGGTAGTCAACGCAGAACCGGATGAATCCGTCTTTTTTCTTGACGAGAACAACCGGTGAAGCCCAGGGACTGTTGGAGGGCTCGATGATGCCACGTTTCAACATGTCGTCCACTTGTTCGTCGATGACACGGCGTTCAGCAGATGACACACGGTACGGACGCTGCCTTAGTGGGGCTTGTTGACCGGTGTCAATACGGTGAACGACCGCAGAGGTTGGGCTTAAGCCTGACCGGTCACAATCGAATGAAGAACGAAAGCGGAGAAGATTTATGATCTCTTCGCACTGAGTTGGTGCGAGCTCAGAGTCGATGGCATCCGAGAATACGTCCAGAGCATCATTAGGCGTGTTGGTAGGAGTGACAGCACAAATTGAGAGCGAAACCATTGAATCAGGTATAGTAGCCGGAAGAATGCACTCGCAAGGTTCGTAGCTTCCCAGGCATTCTCCACGTAGTAAGGATGACGGGCTGTCCGAGGGATTGCACACATAAATGGCAGCGTGACTATTGCGAAAAATGAGGATGGCAAACGCAAGCATGATATTTCGACGGCACGCAGATGGGACCGATGGCGTAAACAACACAGGCGATTTCGGGGGGGAGGCACACGACACCGAGACAACAACAGCTGAGAAAGGCGCAATGTCAACGTCAGAAGCAGCAAACACTCTACACGAAGCGCCATCGTCGGGGTCATAGCACTGCACAGATAATGTGAGTTCGGAACGAGCACAGTCGACCAAAGCAGAATTTGACGAAAGAAAGTCCCATCCAAGGATAACGTCATGCGAAGAACGGAATAAAACTACAAATGAGACGACGTACATCGCACCTTGAATGACGACTCGTGCAGTGCACATAGCTGAAGGCTGAATATGATGGAACGTAGCTGTCTGCAAAGATAGGTCGGTAAGTTGCGTGGTCACTTTCTTCAAGTTTCGGCACAGTTTCTCGCTAATTACAGATACGGCAGCTCCAGTGTCAACAAGTCCGTGCACCTTTATGCCATCAATATAGAGTTCGATTTCGTTCGGGGGACAGCAGTTAGGTCTTGAAATTTTCGCTGCCAACGCAGTTCTTGTCTCCGGAACTGCGCCCGTCAGTTTTCCCCTCGCGGTGGGCTGTTGCGACGTAACATTGGAGAAATGGATCTGCGACGAGGAGAAGGCGAACGCATTGAGCCGGATGGGCGGCGACCGGTACGTACGTCTAGAGGTGGATCGGCAGGAACGGGATATCGTGGCTGAATGGGCATGTAGTGTGAGGCCCCTGCAATGTCATGAGAAGGGAAGCTGCGACGGCGGCAGTGACGAGCTATGTGGCCTGGGATGCCACATGCAAAACATATTGGCCGATTATCCGGAGTGCGCCATTGGCTACCGGTAGGGGCACTTGTCGCCGAATAAGGTACCGGAAACGGTCGTGCAGGCGGCGGCTTCATATAAATGTTCCGAGTTGTTTCGTATACAGCCAGAGACGGGACAGTCAACGGGTGGGCAGGTGGCGTCGACGAATAAACGTGGCGAGTTGCTTCGTAGATTGCCGGAGACGATGGAGCGCGTGGCCGAGCAACAGCGGCTGCATATGTTAGTGGTGCGGTAACAGATGGTGGAGCCGGAGCTGGCGGCAATGCTTCGGCAACTTGCGATTCAATGACCTGACGAAGCGAAGGCGATAAGGGTGCCATCGGCTCGGTAGTTCTGGTGATTATAGATAGCTGCCTGGCGGCCTCCTCGCGTATGAATTGCTTTATGAGTGGCATTAAAGCAGA